CCGAGAGTTTCAAGAATCGGGACCCGTTGCAGGCATCGTTTTCCTGCACGTCTCAGAGGGCCATTGCTACGAGGAAGTAAAAGGATATATACATGGTATCATCATGTCATCTAAACCTCTGGATCCTGACGGGGGGTCAATTTTGAGGTAAAGCGTGTGTTGAACAGACCATCTGTTCAGTATGTTTGCATGACCTGACTCCACTCAACTCGTTGTCTATCCATTTCAGCTTGAGGTGAAGACATCTCAGTTGCACCGAGCCTATGGCCGTCGAACACTTGGCCAACAAACAGCACCCCTCTCGGCCCTCTCTCAACCAATTTTGGGACCTCACCTCTGGACCTGGACGACATCTTAGAAGTCTGGGCATCTTCGCTCCAGCCTCAGGGTCGCAGCCTCCAACTCCACCTTGCACCTCTTGCTGCCGTCCTCCTTACTGCAGAAGACCTTGATTCCCAAAGGTCCGACTCTTGGACGTTGGGCGCGTTGACAGCTTGGCATTCCGATGGCGTTGGGTGAAGTAGGGATCATATTCCGTTGGTGGCAAAGTGGCTTTGGCCCCAGAGAAGTTGTGGTATACAGTGGTATATACCTTCCAAGAACATCATATGACAGAGCAAACACCTTCGTTTTGATTGCTCATACCTGATACAGCCTGGTACTGGTCCAAACTGACACGCCTGCTGTCAGCTGTAGTTCGAATTTCGGGTCTGTATGACCCGTGATCAACCCCTTCCCCTTCCCCGGCTTGCTTCGCAGGATACTTGGCCGACATCGCCAAGAAATGCCAGTTCCCTGTTTGCAACGAGATGTTGATTTGGGTCCTCAAACACTCTTTGTGGTGGCACAGTCCCTACAAAACCAATTGAGACACATGAGTCATGTGACAGCAGAACTCCACTTGCAATTGCTTGGTAATTATGAACTTCATCAATTCTTTTTTGAAGCAAACATCTCACTCGAGACTATCGATGGAGCGATGAAAGTCTCAATTGCAAAAAACAAATGACTGGAATGACATTCGTAAACTGTTCTCCTTGCTTCTCATTGTTCTCCTTGCGAGAACTATTCTCTTTTCGGAAGCAACGGCAGAGCCCTGCTTACCACAGTTTTGGGAACCAAGCCTCTCCAGAACCATGTAAGGGACACGGTGAAACCCACTAAAGTGGAATAGCATTTTGATAGCTTACTTGACTAATGAATCCTTCCACCACTGCGTGGGTGATTGCGTTTTGGCTCATCTCATCGCAGCGCAGCAGCCAGTTGCTTCAGCTTCATAGCTCTTCACAGCCCATGGAGGGCGATGAAGGTGCAGGCTGCGACCCTCTGCGCGTGCATGTGACCTTGCCCAGTGGTCGCGGCGCAGATCTCTGGCTGCGACCCTCTGCGACGTGTCTCGGCGAATGAAACTCCGGAGCGACGACTCGCGACGAGGCGCAAGGAGTGGCGCGAGGAGTGGCGAGTTGTGTATACATTTCTACTTAGCACTCTACCAAATAAAATCAAATAAATAGCGATGGCCTCCAACTCTATGGATCTCTGTAGCGCATGTACTATGTACCATTCCGGAGTTTTCTCTCTTCCACAAACACTAAAATGGACCATTCAAGGGTATTCCAAAGGCGCAAGATTCGCTGGATCTAGCCCAGCTTTAAGGTTGGCACCGTGCCTATTGGCTCTCCCTTTTGAAGGTCAGCAAAGCCACCGTACCTCAAGTCCCTGTCATGGAATCTCACCAACCAAACAACGGTGGCTAGCCCTTGGCCTCGGAGCTACCCGGCTACCCTTCAAGTTTGTTTTCCCTTCAGGGAAAGGATGGACAAGTCACCAGCCACCAGGATTCTGGACCTCAAGAAGGCTGCCCAGCAATCTTTCCAGCAGGGCTTCTTGGCGCTCTTCGCGCCTGACGGGCGCCGACTAGATCCAGCGGACTCCTTGGAAAGCGCCAATCTTGGAAAGGAAGAGACGGAAAAAACTCTTCAATCCAATGCCGCTTTGTTCACTTTCTTGGTTCATTTCTTTGTTTGTTTCATTCATTCATTTGTTTGTTTGATTTGATTTTGTTTGTTTGATTTGATTTTGTTTTAAACGCCATGTTCGTTGGCCTTGCCGGAGGAGAAGCACCTCACCGCCTATGCGCAGCGCGTGCACGTGGCGGCCACGAAGCGTGCCTTCGCGGTGTGGTGCTGTGGAAGCTCTGTGGTGACCTGGGGAGACCCTCAAGCGGAACGTTAAGGAAGGGACTGGCAGGGACTGGGAGGAGAGGAGAGAGCTATAGTAGCTATACATGGGTATGTTCAAACAGGGAGAACCTTGGGAGGACCACCTGGAAGAGGGACAATAGAGATGGTCTATTGGTTGGGGGTCTCCCTATTAAGATACACGCCCATACAAAATGCAAGAACTCATAAGAACCCATTGTCGAGCACTGTTGCTTAGAATTGACGGCTTGTGTTGGAGCAGGTTTTTCTCATGACCCTCTTTCCTGGGTTACCTCAAGTCCACCTTTTGCTGAAGAGCAGCTGAGGAGCCCAAAGCCGGAGGTGACAGTAGCGAAGTTGCTCACCAGCTCAAAGATGTTCAAATGATCTATGCCACCCATGGAGCCTTTGCTGGGATCTTGGGTGATGGAAGAGTCATTACTTGGGGCATTCCGACTCTGGGTGGTGATAGTAGTAGGGTGCAAGAGCAACTGAGAAACATCAAAACCATTTATGCCACAGACATCACATTTGCTGCCATCTCGCATGATGGAAGAGTGATCACATGGGGTGTCGCTTCAATCGCACATGATATCCAAGAGCAGCTGTCCAATGTGAAAGAGATTCACGCCACCTGTGCGGCTTTTGCTGCTCTGCTCGGTGATGGACGAGTGGTGACATGGGGTCTTCCGAGCTGCGGTGGTGACTGCCGCGCGGTCGACGGTCGACTGCAAGACGTGCAGACCCTTCACGCCACCGACCGCGCCTTCGCTGCGGTGCTCGGCGATGGGAGAGTCATCACTTGGGGCGATGCCGCGGCTGGTGGTGACAGCGATGAGGTGCAAGAAAGCCTACGAAGCTTCCCCTTGTTGGCGTCGGACGTTTCTTTTGGTGGTTCTTTGGTGACATGCTGTTTCAAACAGGTCGCAAGTGGTCTGGGTTTCCATAGTGTTTTGGTGGACGTGTTTGAAAGCTCCCCGTCTTCCACTGTGATACCCCGCTGGGTGAAGGAGTGAAATGGTCAGTTCTTTCTCAAGATGCCACTGTGGCCGCAAGTTTCATATCCATGAGAATATTATACAATATTATTATACAATAACAATAGAATTAAAGAGGTGCATAACCCCAGTGATAAATCGATGCATATTCCTTTGCAAGATTTTACAACCTGTCACGTTGGTCTTTGGAGCACCCTGATGCCTGCGCTTTCTAGGTGGTGCCCAGTTTGCCACCTTGTTCCTATTGCTTGGTCAGGGTTTGGGCTTTGCGCAGCTCAATGGTTTTCACCAAGCTGAAGAAAAGAAACCAGTCTACACGTGAAGCCAACAAGGGTGATTCGATGGACTGGCCGCCTCGATGCTAAGTAAGGGTATAAAGCGATAAATATAAAGAGCCATGCGATAAAGAGCCATGCAACATGTTAGGTTCATGACCCCAAGAGGAGCTGAGATCTACTGTATATGCTACCAGAAGTTCCAAGGAGGCTATTGTGCCCGTGAATCCATTCACTTCGGGTCTAAGAAATACACCCTGACATATGGAACTTCATACCAAATTTAAAGGTTTGAGACGTTTTGAGAATAGGTGGAAGACAGCACGTTGTAGAAATTCCTCTAATCATTCGCCTCACGGGTAAAAGTGTTCAATTCCAGCTATCCGGACTGGTTTCTTTCTTTCCAGCGGAGGAGATGTCGAGCACGTCGACGCCACCGCGCGTGCCTTCGCGGCGCGAGACGCCCATGGACGAGTCGTGACGTGGGGAGATCCGACCTGCGGTGGTAGCAATCGGATCCCGGATCAGCTCAGACGCACGGATGCAACAATTATATAGGGCCAGTTGACCCACTGAGTGTGTTTTGGATGATTTTGGATGCATATCCAAGATGAACAGACTGAGTCAACAGAAAACCGAATCCCTCGATCCCATGATTTGCCATGGACATATTGGGACCGAGTTGTAGTTTAGTTTGTCTTATTCAGAATGCG